GGCATTGGAAAACTTATGATAGAGACTTTTAACACTGATCAGCAATGTCACTGGAGATCTTGGGTGGGCCCAAAGAATTTTAAAGAAGAAGAAAATATGCCTTTATTCATGACAAATTCAGGAATTTGGTTAGAAATGAAAATCCAGAAACAAATATGGTCTAGTAGACTGAAAAATGCAAAACTGCTTTTACAGAGGAAGAGGAGTCTGAGGAGGGAGGGGAACAGGACCTCATGCACGTCCTTGGTAACATGGTGATGGCTCTGATGGTCAAATATTGGATCTACATCTGCGGTAGCATGTTCTTCATCGTCACCTTTGAGGGACGTATCGTCATGTACAAGATCATCTACATGATGATGTTCCTCTCCTGTGTGGCGCTATACCAGGTACGCACCGAAAGCACGCTAAGTGATTGACAATGTACAAGTGCATCAAAAAAATGGAATATTGTGATACATTTTTTGTTTGTTTGTTTTTTGTAATTTAATTCAAAAGGTGAACAATGACAGTGTGTATTCATAGCACGTAAGGTGAAATATTTCAAGCCTTTAAGATTTTAATATTTATGATTACGGCTTTAAAAATCAGAAATTCAGTATCTTAAATTATTAGAAGACGAAATTTCAAGTTTGAGTAAATTACTATACAAAAAGTATAAATACTATATCTGTTAATATCTTGGTCTACTTCAGTAGAGGCAGCCTAGATCATGTGGAAGCTAATTTGACAGTTTTCCATATGGGTCTTCGACACCCTCCATATGGAGGGTGAGCCACCGGTCATTCCTGAAAAGGCTGGCTGTATCAAAGCACATTAATGGAAAGGATAAAGGTGTGACAGGAAAAGGTGCTCAAGGAGCATCTTACTTGGGTTAAGGAGAGGAAGAAATGGACTGGTCGTCTGGTTACTTTCAGATGAAAGTACATTTCTCATCATGTTTTCAATTTCCACTCTTCCCCTACTCGTAAACAAAACTCTGAGACACTTAAACTCCTCCACTTCGCAGCAACTTGTCCATGACAGAGGTGGGCACTCCACCACTTTGCAACCGAGAGCCATGGCCCTGGACTTGAAGGTGCTACTTCTTAGTCCTTCATTGATAATCGAACTGGCAACATGCTAATCACTTTCATGCCACACCACACTGATGCAGTAATTCATGGTAAAGGAGCCCCAACCAACAGGAAACTGGATATTTCTTTATTGTAATTTTAAAAAAATCTAATAATTTAAGATGCTGATACTTCACTTTAAATGTAATAAATATCAAATATTTTAACATCTACAAACAAAAAATGAATTTTTTCACTATTACATTTTTTTGCGTTAGGACCAGTTTGTGATG